ATCAACTACCTTCAGTTCCATCAACTACCTTCAGTTCCACCTACTACCTTCAGTTCCACCAGCTACCTTCAGTTCCACCAACTACCTTCAGTTCTAACTAACTTCAGTTCCACCAACTACCTTCAGTTCCACCAACTACCTTCAGTTCCAACAACTACCTTCAGTTCCAACAACTACCTTCAGTTCCAACAACTACCTTCAGTTCCAACAACTACCTTCAGTTCCACTAACTACCTTCAGTTCCACCAATTACCTTCAGTTCCAACAACTACCTTCAGTTCCAACAACTACCTTCAGTTCCACCAACTACCTTCAGTTTCTCCAACTACCTTCAGTTCCACCAATTACCTTCAGTTCCAACAACTACCTTCAGTTCCATCAACTACCTTCAGTTCCACCAACTACCTTCAGTTCCAACAACTACCTTCAGTTCCAACAACTACCTTCAGTTCCAACAACTACCTTCAGTTCCACCAACTACCTTCAGTTACAACAACTACCTTCAGTTCCACCAACTGCCTTCAGTTCCATCAACTACCTTCAGTTCCACCAACTACCTTCAGTTCCAACAACTACCTTCAATTCCATCAACTACCTTCAGTTCCAACAACTACGTTCAGTTCCATCAACTACCTTCAGTTCCAACAGCTACCTTCAGTTCCATTAACTACCTTCAGTTCCAACAACTACCTTCAGTTCCAACAACTACCTTCAGTTCCATTAACTACCTTCAGTTCCACCAACTACCTTCAGTTCCTCCATCTACCTTCAGTTCCATCAACTACCTTCAGTTCCATCAACTACCTTCAGTTCCAACAACTACCTTCTGTTCCACCAACTACCTTCAGTTCCACCAGCTACCTTCAGTTCCATCAACTACCTTCAGTTTCATCAACTACCTTCAGTTCCAACAACTACCTTAAGTTCCATCAACTACCTTCAGTTCCATCAACTACCTTCAGTTCCATCAACTACCTTCAGTTCCATCAACTACCTTCAGTTCCAACAACTACCTTCAGTTCCATCAATTACCTTCAGTTCCATCAACTACCTTCAGTTCCAACAACTACCTTCAGTTCCAACAACTACCTTCAGTTCCAACAACTACCTTCAGTTCCAACAACTACCTTCAGTTCCACCAACTACCTTCAGTTCCACCAACTACCTTCAGTTCCATCAACTACCTTCAGTTCCATCAATTACCTTCAGTTCCACCAACTACCTTCAGTTCCACCAACTACCTTCAGTTCTAACAACTACCTTCAGTTCCACCAACTACCTTCAGTTCCACCAACTACCTTCAGTTCCAACAACTACCTTCAGTTCCAACAACTACCTTCAGTTCCAACAACTACCTTCAGTTCCAACAACTACCTTCAGTTCCAACAACTACCTTCAGTTCCAACAACTACCTTCAGTTCCACCAACTACCTTCAGTTCCACCAATTACCTTCAGTTCCAACAACTACCTTCAGTTCCAACAACTACCTTCAGTTCCACCAACTACCTTCAGTTCCACCAACTACCTTCATTTCCACCAATTACCTTCAGTTCCAACAACTACCTTCAGTTCCATCAACTACCTTCAGTTCCACCAACTACCTTCAGTTCCAACAACTACCTTCAGTTCCAACAACTGCCTTCAGTTCCAACAACTACCTTCAGTTCCACCAACTACCTTCAGTTCCAACAACTACCTTCAGTTCCAACAACTACCTTCAGTTCCAACAACTACCTTCAGTTCCAACAACTACCTTCAGTTCCAACAACTACCTTCAGTTCCACCAACTACCTTCAGTTCCATCAACTACCTTCAGTTCCATCAACTACCTTCAGTTCCAACAACTACCTTCAATTCCATCAACTACCTTCAGTTCCAACAACTACCTTCAGTTCCATCAACTACCTTCAGTTCCAACAACTACCTTCAGTTCCATTAACTACCTTCAGTTCCAACAACTACCTTCAGTTCCAACAACTACCTTCAGTTCCATCAACTACCTTCAGTTCCACCAACTACCTTCAGTTCCTCCATCTACCTTCAGTTCCATCAACTACCTTCAGTTCCATCAACTACCTTCAGTTCCAACAACTACCTTCAGTTCCACCAACTACCTTCAGTTCCACCAGCTACCTTCAGTTCCATCAACTACCTTCAGTTTCATCAACTACCTTCAGTTCCAACAACTACCTTCAGTTCCATCAACTACCTTCAGTTCCATCAACTACCTTCAGTTCCATCAACTACCTTCAGTTCCATCAACTACCTTCAGTTCCAACAACTACCTTCAGTTCCATCAATTACCTTCAGTTCCATCAACTACCGTCAGTTCCAACAACTACCTTCAGTTCCAACAACTACCTTCAGTTCCAACAACTACCTTCAGTTCCAGCAACTACCTTCAGTCCCATCAACTACCTTCAGTTCCAACAACTACCTTCAGTTCCAACAACTACCTTCAGTTTCACCAACTACCTTCAGTTCCAACAACTACCTTCAGTTCCAACAACTACCTTCAGTTCCATCAACTACCTTCAGTTCCACCAACTACCTTCAGTTCCACCAACTACCTTCAGTTCCACCAACTACCTTCAGTTCCACCAACTACCTTCAGTTCCACCAACTACCTTCAGTTCCACCAACTACCTTCAGTTCCACCAACTACCTTCAGTTCCACCAACTACCTTCATTTCCATCAACTACCTTCAGTTCCATCAACTACCTTCAGTTCCACCAACTACCTTCAGTTCCAACAACTACCTTCAGTTCCAACAACTACCTTCAGTTCCACCAACTACCTTCAGTTCCACCAACTACCTTCAGTTCCACCAACTACCTTCAGTTCCACCAACTACCTTCAATTCCAACAACTACCTTCAGTTCCAACAACTACCTTCAGTTCCACCAACTACCTTCAGTTCCACCAACTACCTTCAATTCCAACAACTACCTTCAGTTCCAACAACTACCTTCAGTTCCAACAACTACCTTCAGTTCCATCAACTACCTTCAGTTCTAACAACTACCTTCAGTTCCACCAACTACCTTCAGTTCCAACAACTACCTTCAGTTCCAAGAACTACCTTCAGTTCCAGCAACTACCTTCAGTTCCACCAACTACCTTCAATTTTCTCTTAGCTGACGACACAGCTTTTGTCATCTCCCACCATAATCTTGCCTCACTCAACACTCTTGTTAATGAATAGCTAGTAAAAATAGCTTCACCTGGATGAATGCCAATAAACTCCCACTAAATGCTGTACCGGGAAAACCTTCTATATTATGTTAGGGAGTAGAGCAAGTTAGGTCCGTGTAAATATTATGCTTAATAACGCTCTTATAGTAAGGGAAAATTTCTGGGTCTGCAACCTGAAATTCAACACCCTTATCCAACACAAAAAAAAAAATATCTAAAACAGTTGGTATCCTCCCAAAGTTACGTTACTATTTAGCACCAGCAGCACTACTCACACGATGCTACTCACTGATCAACCTCTACATCACATACGTTATTTGTGCCTGGGGCTCTACAACACCAGCTCACCTAAAGCCAAGAATAACCCAACAAAAAGCCGCAGGGCGAATGATCACACAATCCACTGGCAGACAACACCACCCCCAGCCAATCTTCAAAGACCTTAACCTACTCACTATGCAAAATATTCACTCTTTCTACTGTGCAACCTATATTTACAGAACAATAAAATCTAATATAAATCCCGAACTTAAGCACTTTCTTGATAGTTGCAACAGGACCTGTAGACATAATACTAGTCACAGAAATCTCTATGATATTCCCTTGTCCGGCTAAATCTCCTCAAAAATTCAGTGTACATAAAAGGGCCCAGAACCTGGAACTCTCTGCCATAAATCTCTAGAACCACTGACTCAGCCAGCACTTTCAAAACTATAGTTACAAAAGCACCTTATCTGTCTATCATAACCCAGGATCAGCTGATGCTGGGTTATGTTAGGGTTGTCTTCAACAAGGTGCTGGACAGGGCACCTAAAGTCGGTACCTGACCAGCCGGGCTGTGGTTCTTACGTCGGTTTACGTGTACCCGGCAGTAGCAGCCTGGTTGATCAGACCCTAATCCCCCACGGGGCCTGGTCTCAGACCGGGCCACGGGGGCGCTGACCCCCGTAACCGTCTAGGTATACTCCAGGGTAAATATACATGTATATTCTGTAACCTCAATCGTCAGACAACTGCTTGTATCCGCTTTAGGTAAATAATCAAACCTCTAATTCCTCTCATTTAAATTTGTTAAAACCACATGACATGAACTAACAGGATAATCATTTCTCTTGTATTCATTGTAAACTCCTAAATTTACACCTTATTGTGACCGCCTTATTAATCTTAAAGTTAGATTTAAGTCTGCCCGAAATGCTCTGCATATTATTGTTGATTATTAATTATTATTATTATTATTATTATTATTATTATTATTATTATTATTATTATTATTATTATTATTATTATTATTATTATTATTATTATTATTATTATTATCTTTGGTGTCCCGTAGCGCGAACGCTAGTACACTCAGGTCACACACTGAGGTCTGGAGTTTGAATCTTCTCCGGTACGATGGAAAACACTAGGACATGTTTCCATAAGATACCTGCTGTCCTTGTTCACTTACCAGTAAACAGGTACCTTGGTTTCCTACACACAGTAAATAATGATATTATTTTAGTTATTATTATATAGGTCCATTTACTCCATTCAGTTTCCACTCATTCCCTTCACTTTTCACTTACGTTCTTCAGTCTGTTTTGTCTTTTCTGATTTTGCTTATTCCTGTTTTCATTTTTATTACGCTATCTGTTTTTCATCCGATTTTTCCCTCCGTTTTCTCTTCCGTTATTATTTTCTTTTGAAAGTTAGAGGAGTTTGAACCTAAGAAAATTATGTTAATAAATTTGAGTGTATGATCTAAGTGTATAATCTATAGTGATTATGGTATTAATATGTATATATTTTTACCTGCAGGTGTGTGGAGCGTGTGGCTGCCACAAGAGTGACACAGGGGACAGTCCCTTCTAGTGTGTAAACACCTGTCACTCTCCACACCTGACTCTTCAGGATCCTTAGATCTTCATACGTGCACGGCTCTACAGCTGTCTCTCCACACCTGCTATTCTTTCTCTATATCCATAACTACCCCAGCGGTTTTCCAGACTTGTAATTCCCCCAAGCTTGCAACCCTCCACGCCAGTGACCCTCCACGTCTGCTGACTTCAACGCCAATGACCCTCCACGCATGCTGACCTCCATGCCAGTGACCCTCCACGCCTGTTGACCTCTACGCCTGCTGACTTCCACACCAGTGACCCTCCACGCCTGCTGATCTCAACGCCAATAACCCTCCACGCCAGTGACCCTCCACACCTGCAACTCTCCAAACCCTTCTCACTTGCGTCCTCTCATGTCTGCGATCCTTTGAGCCCAAACTCAAGAAATACGTACCTTGAAAAATACTGTAGGGGACATGCTAATTAAACATAATACATTGAGGTCGTCGTACCATCCCAAAATTGTCTTTGTCTCTCATTTAGCCAGCGCCCTCTAGCACAATGCACGCAAAATAGTAGGGGGCGGCTTAAGTTTTATAATGCATCAGTCAGCTACGATAATCTAAAGCCAATTTGAAGAGGAATTCACAAGCTGTGGTGAGGAAATTATTATGCCTTATTATCAATAAAAATAGTAAGAAATGCCACCCTCACAGCCCAGAACTAATGTCAACCAAGGCACTATCAGAAAAGGCGTGCTCTAGGTATCGAATAGCGACTTAGATCCCATATGACTGGACGAGATGTTCACAAATTATAACGTGAAAACCAGTTTTCAGTTTTCAGTACAGTAGGACACCCGTATCCATGGATCCAATATCCGCAGTTTTAGTTATTCGCTGTGTACTTGACCAGAAAGTGCAAAAGTAGAGAAGCTGACAGTTCTTGAAATCCTAAGAGAAGTGGTGAAGTGTTTTCCATCAGTGAAAAAGTGTTAATTCTACACTTATTTTTCATAATTTATGAATTAAACTTAATCATAAGTATGTATATAAAGGAAAAATGACATATATAGGGTTCATTATTATCCACTGTTTCAGGTATCCACTGTAGGTCTTGGATACACGGGGACCACTGTATTCTCTCAAAAAAATTGCAGACTAGCACGTACACAATGGAAAAATAAACACATAAACACTTTAATGTGATCCTTTATTGACAACGTTTCGCCCATACAGTGAGCTTTATCAAGTTTGTGACTTGATAAAGCCCACTGTGTGGGCGAAACGCTGTCAGTAAAGAATCACATTATGCTGCTTATGTGTTTATTTTTTGATTGTGTCGGTATTTTATGCCATTTATTTCCATAGCATCTACACAGCCTAAAATCAATCTAAAACTTTCTCTTAAGTCTGCCTGGAAGGTGTTCCAGGGGTCAACGCCCCCCGGCCCAGTCCATGACCAGGTGCTGCCGGTCACACGCGGTCCAATGTACACAAGGAAACAAGCTGTTTCTTAAATTTTTCTAATATAAATTTACAAAACACAAAAAAATCAATGAAAAAAGTTTGAGAAAGTACACAACTTTGTTTACCAAAATAATCAATCAACTTTGTTTACCAAAATAATCAATCAACTTTGTTTACCAAAATAATCAATCAACTTTGTTTACCAAAATAATCAATCAACTTTGTTTACCAAAATAATCAATCAACTTTGTTTACCAAAATAATCAATCAACTTTGTTTACCAAAATAATCAATCAACTTTGTTTACCAAAATAATCAATCAACTTTGTTTACCAAAATAATCAATCAACTTTGTTTACCAAAATAATCAATCAACTTTGTTTACCAAAATAATCAATCAACTTTGTTTACCAAAATAATCAATCAACTTTGTTTACCAAAATAATCAATCAACTTTGTTTACCAAAATAATCAATCAACTTTGTTTACCAAAATAATCAATCAACTTTGTTTACCAAAATAATCAATCAACTTTGTTTACCAAAATAATCAATCAACTTTGTTTTCCAAAATAATCAATCAACTTTGTTTTCCAAAATAATCAATCAACTTTGTTTACCAAAATAATCAATCAACTTTGTTTACCAAAATAATCAATCAACTTTGTTTACCAAAATAATCAATCAACTTTGTTTACCAAAATAATCAATCAACTTTGTTTTCCAAAATAATCAATCAACTTTGTTTTCCAAAATAATCAATCAACTTTGTTTACCAAAATAATCAATCAACTTTGTTTACCAAAATAATCAATCAACTTTGTTTACCAAAATAATCAATCAACTTTGTTTACCAAAATAATCAATTTTCAGTATTACAAAATATATCATTGTTCAAAGATTTATCGACCCTTAAAGATTAAATTATAAAATTTTACCCACACCTGTTTTTACCCCAAAATTAAAATTTTATTATAAGAGAAAATAGTGAAATTTAATATTTTCACTATTTTTGGTACCAATTTTCTGTGTATTTCCTATGCATCGCTAAAATTAAAATGATTTCAGTAAAAACGTATTGGTTTACACTTTTATCTGGAGTGTACCTGGAGAGAGTTCCGGGGGTCAGCGCCCCCGCGGCCTGGTCTGTGTCCTGGCCAGAAACTCGAAAAACCTGAAGAAAATCAAAAGAATCTCGAATTACTGCAAAGTAAAAATTTAGGTAAGTCAAGAACTCTCTGAGAGTGTTGATTACGCCGGTGGTCTGGTGGCTAAAACTCCCGCTTCACACACGGAGGGCCCGGGTTCGATTCCCGGCGGGTGGAAACATTTCGACACGTTTCCTTATACCTGTTGTGCTGTTCACCTAGCAGCAAATAGGTACCTGGGTGTTAGTAGACTGGTGTGGGTCGCATCCTGGGGGACAAGATTAAGGACCCCAGTGGAAATAAGTTAGACAGTCCTCGATGACGCACTGACTTTCTTGGGTTATCCTGGGTGGCTAACCCTCCGGGGTTAAAAATCCGAACGAAATCTTATCTTATCGGTCTGCTACATAGATAAATAAAGGTGTTTTTATGTAATATGAGCAACGAAACTGAGCTGGCACGTCAAGAACCTTGTTGAAACACATAATTTCAAGTTTTTTTTATAAATCGTGTTCCATCAAAATTTACAGCACAGGTAATAAAAGGCGCCATTAAAGTAAGTACTAAAGGATGTTTCAAGGACATTAAGCAACATAGTCTAACAGGAAGTAGTTAATATCTAAAAAATTTCTAATTACACTTATGACAGTCAGCGGTGCCTCTCTGAAGAAATCCGCCATCTTGCTGGGACTGAGGCGCCTCTGATGTCATACCGCCATTGTAATTCTTGCTGGGACTGAGGCGCCTCTGATGTCATACCGCCATTGTAATTCTTGCTGGGACTGAGGCGCCTCTGATGTCATACCGCCATTGTAATGATTGATATGCTGATGAATCTTTCACCTTGTTCATCACGAACATCACCAAGATGATGAAAGACGTCCAGGTGTGAATGAAGAAATTATATTTTCAGGAACATATGTCAACCCAGTGTTCTATAAGCTTATATCATATTTAGCACTAACTGTCACCTCTGTGACTTCCTATGAAGTTAGCGGAAGCGAAAGTCTTTCGTGGGGCACATTCCTACAGGACGTAGGATTGTGATGTTACATAATTGTGATGTTACATAATTGTGATGTTACATAATTTATCTTCTTCAGGCCCACTATAAAAATTAATTACCGGAATATTGTTAGTGTCTTCCTGTGTAAAAACCGAGAGAAAATAATTATTTAATATCGAGCACATTTCATTCTCTTTGTCAGTAAGATGCCCATAGTTATTTTTAAGGGGACCTATCTTATCTCTGACTTTTGTTCTATAGACCTGGAAAAAACTTTTTGGTTTAGTTTTCGAATCCCTAACAACTTTAATTTCAATGTCCCTTTTATCTTTTCTTATCCCCTTTTTAACGTCCCTCTTAATGTCAATATACTGATTCATAAGATGACCCTCACCTCTTTTGATACGCCTATAAATTCCTTTCTTATGCCCTAGTAGATATTTCAGCCTATTATTCATCCATTTTGGGTCATTTCTATTTGATCTAATTTCTTTATACGGGATAAACGTTCTTCGAGCAGCATGTATAGTGTTCAGAAAACTGTCATACTAATAGCTCTCTTCGTTACCCCAGTCAACAGATGATAAGTGTTCTCTAAGCCCATTGTAATCTGCTAAGCAAAAATCTGGAACTGTTACTGAGTTTTCCCTACTATCATACTTTCATTCTATGCTGAAGGTAATTGATTTGTGATCGCTTGTGCCGAGTTCCTCATTAATTTCTAAATTATTAACAAGGGTTTCCTTGCTCGCCAGAACAAAATCAAGGAGGTTATTTCCCCTTGTAGGTTCTGTCTCAAACTGCTTCAAAAAACATTCCTGAACTACTTCTAAGAAGCCATTTGATTCTAAATTCCCAGTCAAGAAATTCAAATCGATGTGACTAAAGTTAAAGTCCCCTAGAATTATTACATTATCGTGCCTTGTGGCCTTAACAATTTCCTCCCACAGTAATTTCCTTTGGTCCCTATCTAAGTTTGGGGGACAGTATATCACTCCTAGAATCAATTTTTTATGCCCCTCTGAAAATTCTATCCAGACTCTGTATGTGTTACCTCGGACTTAATACCCGTTTTTATGCAACAGTTCAAGTCATCTCGGACATACAGTGCCGCCCCCCCCCCCTCCCTTACCGATATTTCTATCTACTTGGAACAATTTAAAACCCTGAATGTAACATTCCGAAGGCATGTCCCGACTTTTGGAATTAAACCATGTCTCAGTGATTGCAAATACATCAATGTTACCCGCACTAGCAATTAATCTCAACTCATCCCTCTTATTCCTAGCACTACGGCTATTAGCATAATATAATTTTAGAGACCCTCCTTTCTCTTTACCCTTCCTGCTCATATCTGTTTTTTCACTAAACCTATTACTGTCCTTGTCACCTAGTGCCATTGGCTTTCCGATATCCACCTCATTCTGCCTATTGCAATCCCATTCATTGATAACTGGGACCTATTCTTTGGCAAACGTGATATGTATGCAAGGGATGGGGTTCATCTCTCTGGGGATGCAGTGGTTGCATTAGCCAATTCAATTGAGAGGGTAATTGATGACTTGTCTAGGAATTTAAACTGATAGATTATAGAGGTATGGGTGTTTGTGGGAAACAATCAGGCTGCACCATTATGGTTAAAAACAGCAGTTATTATCAGGATACCTCAGGGATATGTTTAAAAAACAATATTCAAAATAAAGTTGCTAGTAATGGTAAATTAACTGATCAACAAATAAAGAGAGAGAGTAGAGAGCAACGAGTGACTAGCTCCCTTAAGGTTTACTACAAATAGTAGGAGTCTAAGAAATAAGATAGATGAGCTAAAATTACTTGCAAGTGTAGGTACTATAGATATCATTGGTATAACAGAGACCTGGTTCAACCTGAAAGATAGAGAAATGCCTTCTGAATGCAACATACAGGGTTATAAACTATTCCACACTGATAGGGTCAACAGGAAGGGTGGTGGTGTGGCGATGTATGTCAGAGAAAGTTTAAATTGTTGTCTTAGACATGATGTAAGATTAGAAACATCGAACACAGAATCGGTTTGGCTTCAGTTTCTCGAGGGTCGTGACAAATTAATTTTGGGTGTGATTTATAGGCCTCCAAACCTTGATAGGGAGGGCAGTAAGCTGTTATGGGACGAAATTCATAAGGCATCTAGATATGAATATTTTGTGATAATGGGAGATTTTAACTTTAGACAAATTGATTGAAACAATATGACAGGAAATCTTGAGTCTAGTGACTTTCTTGATACGGTTCAGGATTGCTTTTTAGAACAGGTTGTGACAGAACCAACTAGAGGAAACAATCTGCTTGACTTGGTTCTTGCCAACAAAGATTCACTAATTAATAATCTTGAGGTTAATGATGAGCTTGGGGAAAGTGATCACAAATCACTTATTTTCAATATATCATGGAATTACCCAGATAACTGCA